CCAGTCACACATTTGTCTTTTCCCTTCTGTGTATACCATGGGAAATAGGATGGTGAGAAGCACAGGACTGGGAAGGAAGATGGATACAACAGGCAATAGGTGTGTGTGTGTGTATGCTCGTGCGCATGTACATATGCATGTGCATGTGCACATTCCCACTGAGATTGCATGTGTCTGTAGTAACTGCCAAAAGCAAACACCACATGGGGTGTGATGAATCACTTTTTATATGGCCTTTCTCGCCGTGATCCTGTAACTCCCACCAAATGATTAGGTGGGAGTATGCAAATAAGATACTTGTGGCCCACCAAGGGGATTGGTCAGTGTCTTAGTTATCTAGTGCTACTATCACAGAAATACCACAAGTGGATGGCTTTAACAATAAAAATTTATTTTCTCACATTTTAGGAGGCTAGGAGTCCAAATTCAGGGCACCAGCTCTAGCAGAAGGCTTTCTATCTCTGTCAGCTCTGGGGGAAAGTCCTTATCTCCTTTCAACATCTGTGGGCCCAGCGTTCCTTGGAAATCTCCATGTGTCTTGGCATCAATCTTACCCTGGGTCTAGGAGGTTCTCAGAAGAGGGACCCCAGGTCCAAAGGACATGCTCCTTTCCCAGCTCTTCTTTCTTGGTGGTAGGAGGTCCCTCAATCTCTGCTCGCTTATTTACTCTCTTTTATATCTCAAAAGAGATTGACTCAAGATACAAACTAATCCTGTAGATCGCGTCCTGCCCCACTAACGTAACTGCCTCTAATTCTGCCCTCATTAAAATCATAGAGGTTAGGATTTGCAACACATAGGACAATTACATCAGATCACAAAATGGAGGACAACCACATGATACTGGGAATCATGCCCTAGCCAAGTTGACACATATTTTGGGGGGACACAATTCAATCCATGACAGACAGCTTGCTAATAATGCAAATAAACTGCATGGTACCCTTGTGGGGGTGGAACCATGCAAATAAGGTGTATGAAACTCTAACAAGGGGATTGGTCATTCTTGCCATCCTACTAGGCTTAAAATGAGCCATCCCGAGATGGAAAGGGGACATCTCACTACCACCGAGAAAGAAGAGCCTGGGTGGAGCATGTCCTTTGGACTTGGGGTCCCTGCACTGAAAACCTCCTAGACCCAGGAGAGAGAGAGAGAGCTGTAACACCACAGATGGCACAAGATGGTGAGAAGCAGCAGTAGAGAAATGGCAGCAAAGAACCAGGAGACAAGTGCAAGACAGCGTGGTAGGCTTCCCAGCCAATGAAGCAAGATGGCTACAGTAAGCAGGCCGACCCACAGAGCGAGAGAACTAAGTGCCTTTGGGCAGGATGCTGGCGGAGTGGGATGCCTCTGGGCACTTGTCTGAGGAGCGGAGTTACATTTGCTGATCCATGGAGCTAGACTGTTGAGCGCCTTTGGTCCAAGGCATACTGGCAGAGTAGAGTACCTCCAGGCACTTATCAGTAGAGCTAAAGAGCTTTGTAATACTTGCCCGAGCAGGGCAGAGGCCATGCTGACCAAAGAGGCCCTAGGGCCAGGGAGAGGCCTGCCTGTGGGCATGGCCGAAAAGCTGTCCTGATCGAAGAACTGTATCTTGAGTCATTCCTGAGCCTGAATTGTAACCTGTTACTTCCCTAATAAACCCCATAATCATGAGTATTGTGTGTGAGTTCTGTGTGGTCATTGCAATGAATTATGGAATCCAGCAGAGAAGTAGAGAGTGCCATAGAAGGGACAACTCGTGTCAGAATTGGTAAAAAGGTTGGAGAGTGGAGGAATGTTTGACCTCCACTTCACAGAAACAAGCTCTGGGCTGATGCTGATGGTGATTCCCCACCCCCACCCCCACCCTGCGCTTGTGAAGTCAGAGGTCAGATGCCCCTGCACCGCCATTTTCACACCACGTGCAATCTAATTTAAAGGACTCCACCTTATTACCTAAAGGTGCATTTTGAAAGAGAAAGGGGAGTCTACCTACCAACAACCAGGCGAGATCCTTAAGCACGCTCACTTTTTATGTACTAAAAAGAGGCATCAACTGTATTTCTGTGCTTTGAGGGAGTCATTCCATACAAGCAGAGAACATTAATGCTTTTGGAAGAGAATATGAATCACACCTCTGCTATGGAACAATGCACAGAGGGACCCTCAAGCAGTACATGAAGCTGTAGTACAACATAGTTCACTTTTCAACCTTTATAGCTTAACTGGAAAACCTAATGCTTCTGACAAAACTGCCTGATTTAAATGTTCTCACCTACAAAAATAATAATAATAATAAAAGGAAATCCCACTTTCATTCATTTTCAAGGTACAGTCTGTGGATGCTGTGAGCACTTTTATTTGAGCAGAGCTCCACCGGTACAGCTTGTAGGCTAGTACATGGACAACGTGCCAGATGTCTGACAAAGTTAAAGGAAGGAGATGAGGCTTTGGTGTTCTTCAGCCACTGACATGGCTTTAGCGCCCAGATGTCCTTTTCTGAGGGACACATGGTAAAGTCCAGAGAATTGGGGGCCTGGAGTGTTTAAGGACAAGGCTAGATTTCATTTTATTTTTAAAACTCTTACAAATGGAAAAGCAGCCATCTGGTTTTATAAGTACATCCCTGAGCTGATGAGAGCCAGGACTTTGTCAGGGGCTTTGAAAAGGGACCAGGATGCTCACTGAGCAGCCTGCATCTTCACCAGGACAGAGGAGGGTTTGGGGAGAGAAAATCCCAGTTGAAAGATTGAAGCGCAGGGAAAAATGTAATCATTTTAAGGGAGTTAATCCAATTAAAAGAAGAGGGCCAGATGTTTTTCATTTCCACCCAGTGCAAGGAAGAGGCTTAGCCAGAGGCTGAGGAGAATGAGGTGAAGGTCGAGGGCTGGGGGTTCGTTAATGCAACACCATACAGCGTCAAGGACCAGACCCCAAACCTGGCACCGGGAAATGGTGGCAAGAGACACCAACACTGCACCAACTGAGCTCCACTGTGGAACCTGGGAAGCAGCCCAGGTGGCACAGTGGTTAAGTGCTTGGCTGCTAACCGAAAGGTCAGTGATTTCAACCCACCAGCCGCTCCACGGGAGAAAGGTGTGGCAGTCTGCTTCTGTAAAGATAACAGCCTTGAAACCTTATGGGGCAGTTCTTCTCTGTCCTATAGGGTCCCTGTGAATCAGGATCTACTCGAAGGCAGCGGGTTTGGTTTTGGTGGGACCTGGACTCTCTGAGGCTCAGTTTCCTCAGCTGCAACAATAGCATCCACTTCACAAGGTGAAAGGCAATGTAAATGAAACTTTAAGCTCCTCCCTGGCATGAGGTAACCTCTGCAAATTACAGGGTATATTGAGCCCTGACACCAATCGTCTGCCAGTCCGTCATACTGTGGTGGCTTGCGTATTACTATGATGCTGGAAGCCATGCCACCAGTATTTTAAATACCAGCAGAGTTACCCATGGTGGACAGGTTTCACCGGAGCTTCCAGACTAAAACAGACCAGGAAGAAAGGCCTGGCAGCCTACTTCTGAAATCAGCCAGTGAAAACCCTCAGGATCACAACAGAATATTGTCCAGCTCACTTGCTTTGGTAACACCATCATGAGGGATCAATCCCTGGAGGACATCATGTTTGGTGGAGGCCCAGTGAGGGTTAAGGAGGCCCTAGGTGAAATGGATTGCCACAATAGCCACACGATGAACTCAAACATGCTGGCGATAATTGAGAATGATGAAGAACTGGGCAAGGTTTTGTGACCCTAATACTCCCCAGCATGTTTTCTCCTTTTCAAAATGGGCAGCTGAGAGCTTGACATAACTAAGGCCATGATAAACCTGTAAGTTTTTTTTTTCCTTTTTTCTTTGTCCTCTCCTTTCAGCATACCTTTGTTAACGACTTTGTTTTGCTCTGTCCTACCACCTGTGGCTTATGACCCCCCACAGGAAGATTACAGCCCAGATGTCTGACATGTATATCTTAAGCCTGATAAGGACACGTCTGGCATGTATCTCTTCAGTATGATAAACAGTCTTGTGTAATTACCTTGTCATGAATAACGGCCATGCCACCTGTGGGCTACAAAGACACTTGTAACCTTTGTAAAAATCATACATAAGCTCTAATGTAAAAATGTCTTCTGGGACTCCACAGAGACAGCCTGCGTTGCTGTTGGATCCCTGTTCATGGCCACCTCCTAAATAAACTATCTCACTTTTTCTGACTTTGAGTTTATTTCATTGGCTCGACTGCTCCAGGGTACGGACTCTAATCGAGCAACAGTTTTGTTCTGTTGTACATAAGGTTGTCAAGAGTCGGAGTCAATTCGATGGTAGCTAAAAACAACGAGCCTAAGATAAAAACTGTCTTATCTCCACTTTGGCAAAGCTCCACCAGCAAGAAATGCCAAACTACCGCCGGGTGTGCCCTCTGTGGAGAGGAGGGCTGCTCAGAGCATCGCGGTTGGACCCTCCCCACCATAACTTGGAAGAGAAGGGCGCCTTAGGCCTGTACACTCACGCCTGGATGGAGCTCCACGCGCTCGTCCAACACTGTTAATTGCTAAGGAAACCCCGCCTCTCCAGTAAGTGTTGAGAAATCACTTCCTGCCTCTGCTAGGCACGCGACCACAGGCTTCAAAAAGTGCCTCTCACAAATATGGCCGTCTTCCCCTCTTAAACACGATGGCCATAAAGACACCAAGGAGAAAACCAAAATAAATCCGTTGCCGTCAAGTCGATTCTGACTCACAGCGACCCAACGACTGACGATGCTCACAATCTTTGCCATACGCCCTTCTTAAACATGGCGACTGAAGAGGTGTCAAGCGAAGGCGCCCCTCACAAACATGGCCGCCTAAGCGCCCTCCGGTTTCAGCGTCCCGCCCCAGGCTCCGCGCGCTGAGCCGCGCCCCGCCCGCTCACGGAAGAAGTCAACTTTGTTGGGTCACATGCCTATGAACTGGGCTGTGATTGGCCAACTCTCTGGAGACGTCAGACGCCGCGACGCGAACTGAGGCCTCCCGGTTGCTCCTCCGCTGAAAGCGTTAGGGCTTCGCGGAGGCGGCGGCGTCAGGGGCGCGCCGCTCACACTCATGAGGAGCCGGAAGGTGAGGGGGGGCGGACGGGCGGGCGCTGCGCTGGGAGGCGGGGGTGGCGGGCTCGAGGAAGGGGGCTGGGAGGAGCCTCAGACCGAGGGACGGCCTCCCCCGGGCCTTGCCTGCGGAAGGGGGGGTCCCTTGCTCTTGACCCCAGACTCGGGCCTCGCTTGCGGGAAGGGAATCCCCAGTACGTGACCCCCAGCCTCGAACTTCGCCTGCGGGAAGGTTTCTCGAATGTCATACAGCCTTTGGTTTCCTGGTGTGCAGAATGAGGCAATGATGTGGCCGCCCCAGAGGGCGCCTGGTGACCCTCCCATCCCCACTACCCGCCCCTTCCGAGCTGCACCCTAGCATTCTCATTTGTTCAATGGGAGAAGCCGCAAACATGTGCATTCCAACTCCTCTCCTTTTTGCCCTTTTGCGTGCTTTTACTTCAGTCTGTCTGTATCTCTGCTTCTGTGAAGTGTGTCTCCTGTAGACAGCATATAGTTGCATCACGTTTTGTTTTTTTAATCCAGTCTGACAATCTCTGCCTTTTGATTAGATTGTTTAATACATTTGCATTTAATGTTATTATTGATAAAGTTGAATTTATGTCTGCCACTCTTAATTTTTGTTTGTGTCATGTCTTTGTTTCTGTATTCCTCCTTCACTGCTTTCTTTTGCGTTCAGTGACATCTGATATAGCATTTTGATTTCTTTAATGATTTTTTTACTATATATTTTTAATTGCTTTTTTAGTTGCACTTCTTAACACATCAGATCCAGCTTCAGATTGATAGCAACTTAATACCAGTGAGATATAGAAATGTTACTCTTATGTATGGCCTGGCTATCTACTTCTGAAAAATCAGCCATTGAAAAACCTTACGGAGCACAGTTCTACTTTGACACACATGGGGTCCAGTCGACTCCAGCTGAGTTGTTCTACCCATTACCCAGTAATATGTTGTTATAGTTATTTACCTTCTGTGGTCATTTCCTTACCCCAGTACAGCTTTGCTTCCACCTCCCTTGTGTTGTTATTGACAAATATATTTCTATGTATATTATATATGTTGATGTTAGGTGCCGTTAAGTTCATTTCCAACTCATAGCGATCCTATGTACAACAAAACAAAGCACCTCCCAGTCCTGCACCATCTTCACAATCGTTATGTTTGAGTCCATTGTTGCAGCCACTGTGTTTGTCAGTCCGTCTTATTGAGGGTCTTCCTCTTTTTCGCTGGCCCTCTACTTTACCAAACATGATGTCCTTCTCCAGGGACTGATCCCTCCTGATAACATGTCCAAAGTATGTGAGACATAGTCTTGCCATCCTTGCTTCCAACATTCTGGCTATACTTCTTCCAAGATAGATTTGTTCATTCTTTTGGCAGTCTATGGTGTATGCAATATTCTTCACCAACACCACAATTCAAAGGCGTCAGTTCTTCTTCGATCTTCCTTATTCATCATCCAGCTTTCACATGCATATGAGGTGATTGAAAACACCATGGCTTGGGTCAGGCGCACCTTACAGAATTGCTTTTGTAAATTACCTAAGAGAAGAAAAAGACATTTGACTGTATGAATCGTAGCAAATCACGGATAACTTTGCGAAGAATGGGAATTCCAGAGCACTTATTGTGTTTGTGTGGAACCTGTACATAGACTAAGAGGCAATTGTTTGAGAAGAACAAGGGCATACTGCGTGGTTTAAAATCAGGAAAGGTGTGCATCAGGGTTGTACCCTTTCACCATACTTATTCAATCTGTATGCTGAGCAAATAATCTGAGAAGCTAGACTGAAGAACGCAGCATCGGGATTGGAGGAACATTCGTTAACAACCTGCAATATGCAGATGACACAACTCGCTTGCTGAAAGCAAAGAGGACTTGAAGCACTTACTGGTGAAAATCAAAGACTACAGCCTTCAGTATGGATCGCATCTCAACACAAACAAAACAAATCCTCACAACTGGATCAATAAGCAACATCATTATAAACAGGAAAGATTGAAGTTGTCAAGGATTTCATTTTACTTGGATCCACAATCAATGCCCATGGAAGCAGCAGTCAGGAAATCAAAGGACATATTACATTGGGCAGATTTGCTCCAAAAGACCTCTTTAAAGTGTTAAAAATCAAGGATAACGCTTTGAAGACTAAGGTGCGCCTGACCTAAGTCATAGTATTTTCAGTCACCTCATACGCATGCGAAAGCTGGACAATGAATAAGGAAGACTGAAGAAGAATTGATGGCCTTGAATTGTGGTGTTGGCAAAGAACATTGAATATACCATGGACTGCCAGAAGAACAAACAAGTCGGTCTTGGAAGAAGTACAGCTAGAGTGCTCCTTGGAAGCAAAGATGGCGAGACTTCGTCACATGTACTTTGGACATGTTATCAGGAAGGATCAGTCCCTGGAGAAGGACATCATGCTTGGTAAGGTAGAGGGTCCGTGAAAAAGAGAAGACCCTCGACAAGACAGATTGACACAGTGACTGCAACAACGGGCTCAGACATAGCAGTGTTGTGAGGGTGGCGCAGGGCCGGGCAGTGTTTCGTTCTATTGTACAAAGGGTCATTTTGAGTTAGAACCAACTCAGCGGCACCTAACAATAACGACAACAATAAGAAAGGCGAAACAGTATGCACTTACACTGTCTTTTATAATTATACACTTCTACTGGTGCTTTTTTCCCCCCATCATGTGGATTTGAGTTGTGGTCTGGGGTCACTTACTTTCAGCCTGAAGAATTTTCTTTAGTATTTCTTGTCAGACAGGTCTGCTAGCAGCAAATTCTGTCAGTCTTTGTTTATCTGGGAAGGTCTTTTGCCTTCATTTTTTATCAGTAGCTTTGCTGCATATAAGATTCTTGGTTGACAGTTGAGTTTTTTGTTTTGTTTTTTCCTTTGAGTACTTTACATATATCCCACTGCCCTCTGGCCTCTGGTGTTTCTGTTCAGCAGTCAGCTGTTAACTCATATTATGTTTCCTTGTGAGTGATGGGTCTTTTTTCTCTTGCTGTTTCCAAGATTTTCTCCTTGTCTTTAATTTTCAGCATTTTTACTATGATGTGTTTGTGGCTGTCTTTGAATTTATTCTACTTGGAGTTTGTTGAGCTTCTTGTATGTATAGGTTATTGTTTTTCAGTAAATTTGGGAAGTTTTTAGGCATTATTTCTTCGAATATTTTTTCTGCTCCTTTCTCTCCTCTCATTGTGGTACTCCACTTACACACGTTGGTATGTTTAATGGTGGCCCACGGTTCTTTGTAGCTCTCTTCAGTGTCATCATTTTCCCTCTGTTCGTTGTTCATCATTCTTTTTTTCCTCTCTGTGCTTCAGCTTGCGTAGTCTCTGTCAATCTATCTTCAAGTTCGTTTTATTGACATTTTTTGATGAAACATTGTTATCATGCTTCCTTTACTTTTTTAATCATAGTTTCCTTTAGTTTTGTTTGTTTGTTTTAACATCCTATAATGACTGCTTTGAAGTCTTTTTCTGTTAAATTCAACATCTGGTCACTTTCAAAGGCAGTTTCTGTTTCCGAGGTTTTTTTTTTTTTCCTCTGGTCTACTTTCCCATTTCTTTGCATGTCTTGTTGGAAATGGGACATTTTAGATAATCTGTTGTAGCACTCCAGGTACACTCCCCCCTGGGGCTTGTTACTGTTATTTGCTTATTTGTTTAATGATTGGCTGGATTATTTTAGTGAAGTCTATTTACCCCCACCCAGCACAGGGTTAAGTTTCTGATGTTGCTTCTCAGGGCTGTGCAGCTTTAGGTGTGCCAGCAGTCACCCTGGGATGACACTGGTAGTGGTAGGGCTCTCATCCATGCTTTCTCTAACCACACCTAGCTTTTAAACTCCGTGTTAAGAGCTGCGGCTGCTGTTCAAAAGGTCAGCAGTTCGAATTCACCAGTCACTCCTTGGAAACCCCATGGAGCAGTTCTACTCTACCCTGTAGAGTTGCTACGAGTCGGAACTCGGCACTGGGTTTGGTTTTGGTTTTTGGTAATTGCTAATTGATTGCTCAATTGTTTTCAACATCCTGGGGCATAAATTGCTCTACACAGACTAATCCGATAAATTCTGATTCCTTTGAAAGAATAGTTTTTGAGGTCAGTGTTTGCTGTTCTAACCCCAGGGGGGCTCCTCCCCAGTAGCTGGCCTACAGTTTAGCCTATATCCTAAATCTCCTCCCAGTTGCCTTTACCCCAGCCTCCACCATTCTTGAGAGCGTCCTTAGGTTTAAACTTCATGCTTTGTTGCAAATGAAATCACTCTTTTGGGAAGAGATTCCAGAAAACCAAAGCTATTGCCATCAAGTTGATTCTGACTCATAGTGACCCTATAGGACAGAGTAGAACTGTCCCACAGGGTTTCCAGGGAGCAGCTGGTGGATTCGAACTGCCGACTTCTTGGTTAGCAGCCGTAGTTCACTGTAGCTCTTAACTGCTGTGCCACCAGGGCTCCGGGAAGAGATTAGGAGCTGTTTTATGGCCTGTTTCTCCCCCTCCCCAGGCAACAGCATCTCTGAGCCAGGGCTCTGGAGCTGGGGACAGTGACACCCTTCTCTCTGAGTCACACACATAGACACACAGCCACTCTAGGCACTGAGTGCTCAGTTGTGGGGAAGCAGTCCGAGGTCCTCTCAGTTTGCTTTTCCTGGTGTGAACCCCCACCCCCATGAGCAGGGGAAGGGCTATGGGAGCCCCAGTCTTCTCAGAGCACCACCCCAAAGTAGAGCCTCCGATCCATGAGTGGGGGCTGAGTGGTGGAAAGGAACCCCACCTCTAGACTGCCATTTGCGTAGGACGTAGCCTCAGCAACAGGTAGCTGGGAGCAGAATGAGAAACACTGAGAGGTCCTGTTCCTCCCAGGGAGATGCCCTCTGGCTGGGAGCTGGAGGAAAAAGGAGCCCCATGTGCTTGACTGCAGCCTTCTGGAGTGAAGTCTCCCCGGGGCTGAGCTCAGAAGGGTGGAAGGAGGGCACAGTCTTGTTTCAAATACCAGAAACTCACCTTTCTTACCAAATTTTCATAGTTTTCTCGAATAGTTATTTCCTCATTTGCCGTTTGCCTTTAGGACCATTTCTACTAGCTTTAGGTTTTCATTTTTTATCTTATATTTTCACCCGTTTCAATGTGGAGCAGGCCAGCAGAGCTCCTCGTGTATCATGCTGGAAGTCGATCTCTTACAGCCCTTTTTGGGAAACTACATTTTTGCTCTGACATTCCAGTTTTTAACCAATCTACTTGAAGGGAGAGGGAGGACCTCCTAAATAAATTTAGTATATTTACTATTCACTTTTAATTGTTTTCCAAGTTTTGAGTTAAGCTTTAAAATGTATTATTTTCTAAGTGCAATATGGTGTTCCGGGACTGGATCCTAGAATAGGAAAAGGACGTTAATGGAAACACTGATAAAATTTAAGTAAAGCCTATAGTTTAGTTAATAGTATTAGGCCAGTGTTAATTTTTTAGTTTGACAAACGTACCATGGTTATGTTAACATTAGGGGAAGCTGCATGAAGGTTTTAAATTTTATTATTTCAATTTATTTCTTTCTCGTTATTAGAAAACTTATCTTTGTGTTCAGAATAAAGTAGAAGTGGGCCAGTTTGTTACTTTAAGACTTACCAGACAGAAGTTCACTGCTTTAAACTAGTAGGATTAGGGCTGTGTCTACCTATAATTTAAGGGAGGAGGTATGGGAGAGATTGGCTTTTTTCATTTTACCTTTTATCAAGAACTTTGAGACCATAGTAAAAGTTTGAGAACTTTCTGATGAAGGATATTTGCTGTTTATTCTAAGCATGTTTGAAGTTGGTTTAATATCTGTTAACTCACAAATAGGAGCCCTGGGGGCACAACAGTTAAGTGCTTGGCCCTAACTGAAAGGTTGGCAGTTCGAACCCACCCAGCAGCTCCATGGGAGAAAGACCTGGAGATCTGCTCCCGTAGGTTACAACCTAGAAAACCCTGTGGGGCAGTTCTACTCTGTCACATGGGATTGCTGAGTCAGGAATCAACTAACAACTCACAAATGGTGGTTCTTAAAGGGGGAAAATTGTCCCAAGCTTTCAAAATCATGGAAAGAGCAGATCCTGTTATCTTAGACCCAGAAAGAGCTTTGTTTGAATTTGCACATTTAGGACACCAGAGCCTTTCCATGAAGATAATAAAAATGTATGTGGAGGAGGAGGTTGTCCTCTAAAATATGAGAGTCATCTTGGATCACTCAGGTTTGTCTTTAGAGAGGACATTTTAATCTCCATGCTTGTGTTTCTTTCCACAAGAGAGTTTTCTGATGAAGCCTTTGGTCTGGTCTAGCTCACAGATGGAGTGCGGTCTTCAGCCCGCCTGAGGAGCCGAGGGTGCCCAGCAGCCGAGTTGGCCTCTGCACAGGAAGTGGATGTCCCCAAATCGTCCAAGGCTTTGTGTCTGGTAAGCCCTCATCACTGCCAGAAATGCCAGGATCTTGACTCATGTATCCATTTTTATAAAAAGTGTCCCCCAAGATGTGTCAGTATCAGAAAAAATACTGAATGTTGCCTACATATCTGGGGGGAGGGGATGTCTTAAAGGAAATGGTAATGGTACTGTAATTATCTTCTGAAAAAGTACGCTCTCCAGTCCAGGGGTTTGCCGGCCACCAGGGTGCATATGCGCGCGCACGTGTGTGTGTCTCAGACCCAGTTTTGAACACATACCTTTGCTCATCACTCTATTTCTGATGCATTCCCTGAGTGGTGCTGGTATATTACTCTGCTACATCACCCTTAGATGTTTTAAGAGAAAGGTAAAGTGGGCCAAGAAAAGGAACCTGCTATCACCTGCGATTCAGTATAATGCAGCTGTCCTTTCCAAGGAGTTTTAGTTCCTGGGGTGATGCAGTTTGTTCATAGGTAGACCTGCTTGGTTGAGCCCAAGGCCCCGGGTCCAAATGGGACATGGCTGTGCACCAGCAACCAGCATAGCACCACTCGAGTACTGTGCTCATTAGGATTTTGTTGAAAATATATAAGCCTGTGCTTTTGGATTTGCCTTAGGAGCTGTAATACCCTAGGGAAAACCGACTGGTGTGTGGGGGTGTGTCTAGACATGTTACCACTTTGGATTCTGCTCCTTCTGCGGCACAGCAGTGACACAGCCCTGACTGAATGGCTCCAGCTGCAGCATTTACACTGTTTACGTTGTGAGAATAAACATTCACCTCTGGGATGAGATGTTTTTTGTTTGCTATCCTTAGTCTATTCTTCCTTTGCATCTTTTTTTTCTTGACAGACTTCGTCGTCACACAAATCCACTGACAAGCGAACTTCCAAGAAGTTCAAGTATGACAAAGATAATCTTGTGAAATCAGAGTTACAGAAGCTCATCCCTAAAAGTGCTGGTGCTTCCTTGCCGAAAATAGCACCCAAGACCCCTTGTGCAAACGAGCCTCTGGAGCTTGGTGGACATCACGCGGAGCCCCCAGGCAACGAGGCTGGTGCTTCTGCGCAGCAGGAGGGTGAAGGCCCCCTCCTCGGTCACTGTGGCATCCTGAAGGACGGGTGCCCCACACAGACTGATGATGGCTTGTCCCTGCCAAAGCACAGTGCTGCTTCTGAAGCAGAAGTGTCTAACAGCAGCTCCACAGCACGGGATGAGTCAGCACTGGAGGCTGAGGGGGCACAGAAGCCACCACTTCAGATGGACAGCAGTGTCTTTCTTGACGACGACAGCAACCAGCCCATGCCTGTGAGCCGGTTCTTCGGGAACGTTGAGCTCATGCAGGTAAGATCAGCATCATCTTGCCTCCATCAGCAAACCGTAGGGTCGAATTATGTATTCCTAAATGACCGCATGTAAATAATGTTGTTGTTAGGTGCTGTCAAGTCAGTTTCGACTCATAGCGACCCTATGTACAACAGAACAAAACACTGCCTGGCGCCCTGACTCAACAGAGAGCCCCTGACAGCACAGGAGATGAGTGGGGTGCAGAACTCAAATTCTGGTAAAAAGACCAGACTTAGTGGTCTGACTGAGACTGGAGGGACATGGCCTGAAGACATGGCCCCTAGACTCTCTCTTAACCCAGAACTAAAACCATTTCTGAAGCCAGCTCTTCAGACAAAGAATACACTGGACTATAAGACATGAAATGATACTCATGAAGAGAGTCCTTCTTAGTTTAAGTAGATAGATGAGACTAAATGGGCAGTTCCTGTCCAGAGGCAAGATGAGAAGGCAGAAAGGGATAGGAGCTGGTTAAATGAACACGGGAAATCTGGGGTGGAAAGGAGGAATGTACGATCACATTATAGGGATAGCAACTAGGGTCACATAACAATGTGTGTATAAATTTTTGTATGAGATACTATTTTGAGCTGTAAACTTCCACCTAAAGCACAATTAAAAAACACTGCCCGGTTCTGCACCATCCTCAACAATCGTTTCTATGCTATACCTCGATAAAAGATAAAAATACAAAACAATAATAATCATAATTTCCACTCCAGAGGAGAAAGTGAAAGCATTGCTAGTTGAGGGCACCCCCACGTTCCCCCCACTGAGAATCACCACCACTGTGGGACGGATGCTGGTGGGTGGTGTCAAGCCCCAGCCGTGTATTGATTGAGTACCTCTGGGCCTCACACTGCAGAGCTATGAAGTCATATTTATAATTCTTTAAATGTCTACCCCATGCTTGCTGTTCTTTTGTTTTTCACCCCATGTTTTCCCTTTTATTTCTCACTTGGTCAATCCAGGAGGGAATAAGCCCTCATGCATAGAACTGGCACCACAACTCAGTCGTTTCTGGCTATCTAAACGTGAGGGCCAAACAAAACACGTGGGGTCGCCATGAGTCGGAATCGACTTGATGGCAGCTAACGACCAAGGGCAGGGCCAGTCTGCAGGGCCCAGAGCTAGCTGGTCTTGGTGAATTGCGAATGCACATGTGGATATAGTGTTGTTATCCATCACTGAAGTCAGTGTTTTTTCCCCACAAGGACCTTCCACCTGCGTCTTCAGCTTGTCCTTCCATGAGCAGACGAGAATTCAGGAAAATGCATTTCAGAGCCAAAGATGATGACGACGATGAAGATGATGATGCAGAAATGTAGATAATAAAAACGCACAAAGTAATTTCTTTCGTATTTAGTGTAGTTAGCAACCTGGCAATTATGCAAATGACAGGATTCATAAAAAATTCAACTCCAGGGGAACTTATTCTTGATCAAACTTCAGAATGGAACCATTGAAGTCAACACATAGTGCAAACTCCCAATAGCTGCAGAAGGTTTATTGATACGAACCATAACAATCTTGGGGATTATAAAGCTGCTGTTTCTATGTGGATGTATTTTCATATATGAATATGGTTCATGTCAGCTGAGGGGGTTTAGGGTTAGATGGTGGAGACCTTTCACTTAAGCTCTTTAGTTTTGATAATATGCAGGTTTATTTTCCATTGTCAGAATTTGGTCATTCTTGTGATTCATTCAGTGCTAGTTCTTAAAGAACTCTATTTCGTTGTATATGAAGCTAATGTTTACCTTAGAAATTTTGCAAGCATGTATAGGAAATAAATATATTTTGAAAATATTTTTAAGTCTTAATTATGTCCCTAAAACTGCATTCCTTTCCCAAATGTTTGAGAGCCCAGTGGAGAGAATGGGTTGTGCTCTAAGGTTTAGACTTGTGAGGCTGTGCCAGCCTTTTGTACTCACTACCAGCCCAAGAAGTGAGGCCTTGAGCACAGATGGTTCTGGGTGTGAAGAGACGAAGACCTTTCCTTGTGCGGGGTGTGGGGTTTCTGAACTTCTGTGTCTTGCTCATCATTGCTGTAGAAGAGTAGGAACGGGTAGAGAGTGGTTAGCACATTTGTTACCCTGTTGGTGCAGAAGGCAACTAGCCAGTGAAGGCTGTGCTCTCCTGGTTTAGACGTGTTGCTGGGCACAGCCACTCCGACAGGGTCAACATCGAGGAGGGCCTCGTGATGTTTTCACCCTACCAGGGTTGACATCCAGGACGCCTTGTGACGTTCTCACCAGTGGACTGTGAAGAGATGCCATGTAGGGTGAAGCAGTGGATGGACCTCCCCACTGTCTCTTCCTGCCGCCATCTCCGGGACTTACGGAGCAGCCAGGAGGAGGGAGCCTGGGTCCCAGTTACTGACCACAAAGAGGAAAAGTACCTGCAGTGCAGAAAGACCATTTGGGTCTCTCATGCTATGCAAAAGAGTTTGATTGCTTTCAAGCTATTATACATTCTTGGTTTAGTTATAACAGCCGCTAGGTTTAACCGCATTAAAATATCCTTTGAAGCACAGGAAGTATTTTACATTACAGATAAATTGGGAGCAAAATGTAGCTGAAGTGCACTGTAAGAAATTTTTCAACTCTTACCATTCAAAAACTGCCCTCATTGAAGTATTTCCCTAGCAGTCATTCTTTGCTTCCCATGTGATCGTTTTCGCATTAACAGTTGTGACCTTCACCTACTCTGAATAATTTTGTGATTTATTGATTGATGGGCTACTCTATATTTAGTAATTGGAAAACGTTGCTTGAGAAGTCATTTTATGGTAACCAGGGAAAATAATGTACAACTTCAGATGAGTGACTATCAATCACAGCACCTTGTATTAGTGGTAATTGATTTGAGAATTTTGTCTTCCCTGTAAACTAATTCAAGGAGCCCTGGTGGCACAGTAGTTAGTGCTCGGTTGCTAACCAAAAGGTCAGCAGTTCGAACCGACCGGGTTCTCTGGGTAAGAAGGATGTGGCAATCTGCTTCCATAAAGATTACAGCCTTGGAAACCATGGTGCAGCTCTGCTCTGGTCCTGTAAAGTCGCTGTGAGTCAGAATTCACTCAACGGCATTAGGTTTGGTTTTTGGTTGTAAGCTAACTTGAGTGAGCAACGCTGTCCTGAATCACAACATGCCTGCAGAAGAGATGCATTGTTACATTCCCACCAAAATGCTAAGCAAAAATTCTGCGTGCTCCTAGGACGACTTCTATTCCCTTGTAGTTTTTAGCCTGAACTAACAAGAGCATCATCAGGCAGAAATGCGTTCTGTTATGGATTGAATTGTGTCCCCCCAAAATATGTGTTGTAAACCCTAAACCCTATACCTGTGGTCATAATCCCATTTGGGGATGGGTTGTCTTTCTTACATTAAGAGTCCATATCAGTGTAGGGTGTGTTTAAAGCCAATCACCTTTGAGATATCAAAAGAACAGATTAGGACAGAGAAGAAAGCAGCGAAAAAAGCAGAGATGGGAGCACACAGATGCCATGCCACATGAAGATCACCAAGGACCCAAGGAATACCAGCTGAAGAGGCAAGGACCTTCTCCTTGAGCCAACAGAGAGAGAAAGCCTTCCACTCACTAGAGCCAGTGCCCTGAATTTGGACTTCTAGCCTCCTAAACTGTGAGAAAATAAATTTGTTTGTTAAAGTCACTTGTGGTATTTCTGTTATAGCAGCACTAGATCACTAAGATACCTTCCTATCCTCCCTAGACTTTTAAAAATCAGTCCTTTGAAGGCCCTGGTGCATGCTGGTTGACTCCCTTTCTGGTTTATGTATCCCCAGGTGTCAGCTGGCTTCACTAAGTTGAAGGTACATCATTTCATGTAGCAATCTGAAGACTTTTTGAAGTACAGAAAACTGGAATCTCCCAGGTGATGAAGGGGCAGAGAAGACAGGTGTGTCCATGAAGGTTATTGTCAAATGAGTATGACACGTTAACATAAGAAAACACAGTGTCCCATGTGAAGGAATGTACAAATGAGTGTTAGGATTTCAGAAGCCTGAGGAGTGTTCGGGGATGGAAACAGTGAGGGGATCAGAGCAGAAAACCCTTCCTGTGTCCTCACAAATGCAAACAGCAGGACAAAATGTTAGTTAAATGATTAGTTATCGTGAGGCCAATTCAGGTAGCTTCAGGACTAGCAATACGAAATGAACGTCATGGAAGCCCAAGGGACAAAATGAAACTTCAAAAAGTATATTTAAATATCCATTAAAATTACTCTGATTGTGAGTACGCTTGTGATATACTTTGTCCAGATTATCTGTCAGTATTTAACATGCATGCCTGAAGCAAGCCACTGTAGAAGGGCAGGCTATGTTACAAACAGGAATTTTTAGAAGCAATTTCTAGCGGTAGCCTTTGTAGTATGAAAGAGTATTAGTAGTTCCATCCTGTAAGTATTCCTTGCTTTATAATAAGACATACTCCTGCAAAATTGACACTAAAATAAATTGTATTTTCCTATTCCCTTATGTACATCTGTGTCAGGGTCCCTAAGACTACCCTCAGGCTTGATAATTCTCCAGAAGGATTCCCAGACATCAGAAAAGGCTGTTACACTCACTGTTGTGATTGATTACAGCAAAAGGATATGGATTGAAATTGGCGAAGGGAAAAGACACATGGGGCGAAGTCCAGGATATACCAGGACGTTTCCAGGTGTGTCCTCTCGGTAGGGTTGCGTGGGGATGCACTTCTCCCAGCAATGATTGCAAAGTGTTGCCAACTAGATAGGCTCACCCTGGTGTCCAGGGTTTTATGGGGTGTCAGTCACGTAGGCATGCAGCACTTGTGTGGCTGACCTCAGCTACTCAGCCTGCAGCCTCCCAGAGGTCAAGCTGATAACATAGCCCAGGGCCTCTGTCATATGCTCTTACCAGGCAGAATATTCTAAGGGCACAAAGGTTATCTCCAGGAGGGGGGATGTCAAGGGCCAATCCTGAAGACAGGCCTTTCTTTGGAATGTGCAGGGTTTGCCCAACCCAGGCCTGCTGAGTTAACTCTTTCCTGCATAACATCATAAAATTAGTAGGCGCATGCTCCAAAAAGTGCTCATGAATGATTTAAATGCTTACTGCATGTGAAAGCCCCTCAAAGGGTTTCAAAGGGTTAAACTTCCTTTAAACTACTGTTAGGTCACATTTTTTAAAGTAAAAAGAACTACAACCCAACCCCTTTATCAAAGAAAGAGGCTCTGAGAAGTCTTGATTTCCAGCCCCCACCAAACCCACCCACCTCAGTAAATATTTCCACTTGCGCCCAGTTACACAAGCTAAAAAACTTAGGCGTCATCTCTGAATCTTCCTTTCCCTCATCCCCTAGATTCAGCACCTAAGTCCCATCAGTTCCACCTCCAAAAATATCCCAAATCTGGCCATTTCCCTTCATTCCTTGTCCAAACTGCACGTTCTCCTAGATCTCTAAAAGTGTGCCTACCTGGTCTCTGGTTCCTAAGATGTCCCTCTCTAGTCTGTTATCCATGCCACAGCCAGAGGGGTCTCCTAAAACGTAAACTAAGCCCTGCCTAAATCCCCTCAATGGCTTCCAGAATATTTGGAATTAAAGCCAACTCCTTACCCTGGCCTACAGTTCATGACTGGTCTGAGCACCTCCCACTTTGCTCACTACTTTTCCACCACAGTGACCTTTTTCTGAGACTCTCAATGCTTCATTGTTTCTCATCTCAAGTGTCAACTCTTCAGAGCCCCTTCCTCTGACCTCCCTTTGCCTAAATGGTCTCTGTCAGTTATTCTCCATCTCATCACCCTCTTTACGCATGCACAGCTCTTACCACCTGCGGCGACTACCCATCTTACTGTGTGCTTCCTCCTGTAAGTTCCTTGGAGACAGAGAGGTTGCCGATCCTGTTCTCTGCAGCCTTGGTGATAGAGTGCACAGCAAGTCAATACCCTCGGAAGGCTCACCTAACTTGGCTCTTTTCCAAAGGTACTGCATGACTTGGAAGCACTTTGTGACTCCAGGACCTTCCAGCCGTAGATGACTCTCATGCCTGGATCTCACAGCAGTTTCTTCAATACCCACAAATCATTTGATTCCATACTCTCAGCTTCCAGAACTTTCCTCCCTACTTTGGTCTGAGAATGGGCGGCATCCTTCTCAGACACTCAGATCATAGCATATTGTGCAAAGAGATGAAGCTACCTACTCCTGCAGCCTGACAGTCTGAGGGTTTGGGTAACATAAATTAACTCCCGACTGGTGGTGCCTCTCTACTGGTGACATCTCTTGTCTATGAAATCATCCAGCACCTTGCCCAGCGGAGGGCCCAGAAGCCAGCAAAGAACAACAAAAAATTCCAGGTAGTTAAGCAATGTCACAACCTGGAGAGCCTCGCTCAGGATTTACTTACCCTTTATGCAGAGCTCTAGTAAGCTTAGATTCCTGGTCTCCTGCCTGTTGCAGAAATGAGGGTGAGGGGGAAGTGGTAACACTGGAGGAGGCAGCAAAAGCCCTGGTAAACATGAACTCTCAAGCCCAGTAATGGCATTGCACCACAGAGCCATTTCGTAGGGAGACAACAGCCCTGCGCGTCCAGGGACCAGGCGGCACCATTACTCTTCTATATGTTCGAGAAGGAGGGTTCTTTATAACAAATATACGAAGATATCCATCAAAAATGGACTGGGGGAACCCCAGAAGACATGGCCCCCAGACTCTCTGTTAACCCAGAACTAAAACCATTCCCAAAGCCAACTCTTCAAAGATTAGACTGGACTATAAGACATATGATACATGTGAAGAGTGTGCTTCTGAGTTCAAGTAGATGCACGAGACTAAATGGGCAGCTCCTGTCCAGAGGTGAGATGAGAAGGCAGAAACAGATAGGAGCTGATTGAATGGACATGGGGAATCTGGGGTGGAAAGGAGGAGTGTGCTGTCACATTATAGGGATAGCAACTAGTGTCACATAACAATATGTGTATAAATTTTTGTGGGGTATAAGAAACTAACTTGAGCTGTAAACTTTCACTTACAGCACAACTTTAAAAAAAAAAAAAAACTTCAAAGATATACACTTCCATTACTGGAAAATAAACAGCTTATTCCCTAAACTTGGAATTACCGAGCTGGAAGGCCCACCCTCCTCACTGCACAGGCAAAGAAGCTACTGAGCTGCAGAGAGCTCTCAGCAGTGCAAGGGGGCTTTGTGGGGAGGAACCTGGTGCCCTGGCCCCCCGTCTGCAGCCCCCACTGTTCATAACTTCCCCAATCAGAGCAGGTAAACACCTTGTATTGCAAGTGGGACAACTAAAAATGCCATACACAGCAATGGCTCATTCTAAGGTATTTCTACATTTCAGTTAAAAAAATACAATGATTTCAACCAATGTCACAAAACAATTTGTGTATTAACTATTTAATGAGAAATTAATCTGCTCTGTAAACTTTCACGTAAAGCGCAATAAAAATAAAATAGAATGATTTGGGTCTTTTTTTAAAAACCACTGACTCCTTTTTAGCCTTATGTTCATTATTTTCTCCATGAGTACAAACGTCTAACATGTCTATTTTTGAAAAATCTTTATTGCTTTTTCTGATTATAAAATAGCTTGTAAAAATCCAAGTACCATAAAATGTATAACTTTAAAAAGTAAATTTTTAAATGTTATGAAATAAAGTTCATTTCAAAAAGTTTACCTACTATAAAATATATGATTTACAAATAAATCCTTTGTAATCCAGCCCGCAGGATTACTGCTGTTCAGTTTGTGGTGTTTCCTTCCAGAATGTCTCCATGCATGCACTAACATACAGACAGTCTATTCATGCACTGACATACATATAAGCTGTCTGCACATGCACTAACTACATACAGACTGCACATGCTAACATATATACATATGGTATACACATATGGCCTTTTAGAAAACAAACAGCATCATACTCTGCATATAGTTATACAACATAGCTTTGCATGATGTAGTAGATCTGATCATTTCTTACCTACAAAAACAGCAGTTTCATACGGTTCAACCTAATACCATAATTAGTATGCCCACAGATGGGCATCTGGAAGGTTTCTCATTTTTTGCCATTGTAAACAATTCTGCACTGCATATTTGTGTGTGGTCTTTATGGAACACCAACATCGTACCCCAAATGGGTCAAAAATCTTTTCTGAGCATTTAAGAAGAGTCCAGAGGACAGAGCTTTCTACTTGTCTTGGGTTGAAACTCAGCAGGGTCAAGCTGATAAGTAAATTAACAATCTGTCCCTCAAGCAAGAGGGGTGTGATCGTTAAGATTGTGTATCAACTTGGTTGGGCCATGATTCTCAGTGGTTTGGCAGTTATAATGTAGTTTGGCAGTCCTATAATGATGTATTCACCTCCATGATGGGATCTGCTGTGAGCAGCCAATCAGTTGAAAGGAGGTTTCCTTGGGGGTGTGGCCTGCATCCAATACAGGTGGCCTTTTTGACAAGGCTCATGGGCTTTTGCTCACTCTGGATCCTGCAGCTGGCTCCTGTTCATCTGACTTCTGGTTCTGGGAACTTGAGCTAGCAGCTTACCTGCCGATCTTGGATTCACTAGCCTCTGCAGCTACATAAATCAGGAGAAGCCTCCAACCTGACCCATGGACTTGGGACTCTCCAGCCTCTACAACCAAATGAGCCATTTCTTCAATATAAATCTCTCTCTCTCTCTCTCTCTATATATATATATATGTATATACATAAATATATGTATA